ATAGTAGAGTCTGTTTATTGGATGTATTTTTCTGGGTGGCAGGCTTCAATGCAAAGTCAGCCAGTAAAATGCATTCTTGCACATCTAAATTAAAGTCCTCTCAAAAATGCTGTTTTTCAAATGTATGTAACCTGGGAAATAAATGTTTATGGCTGTTATATCACATACTGTCTGGACTATCAAAGTGTATAATGGCTGTTCCACTGGTTGGGTTGTACTTGGTCCTCCCCTCAGTGATTGGCCCTCCCCCACTCCTGTTGGCATTCTCGAAATACAGCTCCACTAGGTCCTTTGGTGTGTTGTCAGGCAGGCCTGTCACTATGATGGCATCAGTCACTGGGACCCTCTCCACTGTCAGATTCCTGCCTTCAAGTGGCTTCACAGCAGCCTTGGCAGCCATTCTGTCAAAGTCTTGGGGAACAACAACAAAAAGAGAATCTAATACAGCAAGTGACATCCAACTGGAAAGGGAAAAGGGGCAAACTGGGGAAGGTTAAAATATGTTATATATGTAACTGAGAAGGTACAGGACCATGTATCAAGTTAAAGTTGAAGCTTGACCTTCCCACAATATTCACAATGGATCTTGTTTCTTTAAAAGTGGGCCACACCGCTTTGTGCAATCACTACAGGTGGCCTAGGAGGCTATTCCACTGGTAGTGGTGTGTGAGTTTAACTCCCATATTCTTCCCAAGTGGCGAGTGCTAAGCAGAGAAAGCAGTATGTGCCATTTTGAAAGTCTTTGGTATGACTCACCAGGGATTGAACTCACAGTACTGTATGCAAGGCAAATACTTATTAAACCCCACCCATTAGGTCATAGGCTGGTTGCAACCATGTACATTTTTGTACACATGTATCAAACTCAGGACAGTTACTTTGATTTGTCTTTGAGACAACACAGTCAAAATGAAACTTGTAGGATTACACAGCATAAATTGTACCTACTAGTTATACAATCCATTGTAACCAAGGCCAGCCCTGGTTGTGAACTGTAGACAATGTCTTCAACAGTATCCCCACTGATGGCCTCCATGTACAGCAAAAGGGTTTCTCTGGACGTACTCTCATTAAGACCCTAAGTGCACAAAAGTTCCAAGGTCAACTTCAACAAACATTTTACTACATGTAGTACATAACGCATTAAAATGTAATGACTTATCAATGACATAAATCAAGTAACTTTTAACTTTCAAGAGAACATTGCATTATTAAAATAGTAAACAGATCTGAACTATATTAGCACACTTAGATACTTTGGGTCCATGTGCTATACGGGTCTGGTATCCAGGCTAGAACTATATGTAATGTTTTCTTTACAATATATGATAAAGGCAATATACTTATTGTAGTATATGACACATCTGCATTTTTGCACTGAAGCAATTATTTTAACTTAAAGGATAAATAGACTTAAATAGTGATATACAGATGAAAATTTTAAATGGCTTTCCATCATACCTTTACAAGAAGGAAACTACTATGAAGTGGGAGCTCTCTTGTGTTGGTTGCTGTATTTGGCCTTACTACTTCAACGTGAAGTGTTGACTGTCCAATCTTGTGCTCTCTTGCCTGTACACGCTTAGCAGCTGTGGGTACACAAAAGTGGGGCATGATTTAGAGAGGACATACATGTTGTACAGCTAGGCAAAATATTGTCATTTTTTTAAAAAAGACAAACATATAACTTGATATAAGGTAACCTTATGCATTTAAACTGGACCCTACCACAAGAGGAAAAATGTTAATAAGTTTCCGTTTTACCTGCTGGATCACTGAAGATGATGAAAGCTTTGTCATCTCTGATTTCGAAGCTCTTCATTTCTCCCCCTCCTGATCTTCTTGTGTTCTCAAAGTACATTTCCACCAACTGGATTTGGTCAGGAGAAAACCCAGACACTTGGAGGATCACATCCTCAGTAGGATGTACTCCTTCTTTTCCATCATCTGTTGATGGAGTGTTGTCCTGTCTTGTTTCTTTTGGCCTTACACTACCATCACCCATGTCTGGGATGGTTGCGTCCTCCATTGACATATCTGCCTCCTCTGGTGCTGCACCATCTGTCCTTACATCATCCGTGTAGTCTGTTTCCTTCTCACGTGAGGTTGAAGGTGCTGCAGAGAACTTTAGGCCTGCTGATAGGCCTGCTGATGTCACAGTAGATGCTGCCACTTCCATCTGTAGCGATGACTCTGATGGCATAGGTGATGATGATGATGATGAACTTGCAGTTGACCTTTTCTGCTCAATCTTTCTGTTCAGAGGTGATCCTGGCAGTTGTGAGAACACAGGCTGAGCCGGAATTCGGGGATGATGAATGTTTCCTCCTACTACAAAGCCAGAAGAATCCCCATCTACTGCGTCCTCAAAGTCACCTGTAAGAATTGGTGACATTTTTTTCAACTGCTTATAAAAAAACAAACATGTACATGTACAGCAAATTTGAAGATATGACAATTTTGATGCCACCTTTTCACAATGAGGAAAGACAAAAATCACCCAAGATACCTTTCAGTTTCTTTGAAGGTGAGACTAGGCTGGAAGTGATGACTTCTTCAAACTTCTTTCCCAGGAAAGCCATCTCAGTTGGAGAAGATGTATCTACAGCTAGTGGAATGGGATGCAGTGATCTGTTAGATTTAAATTTGCAAACATCTGTATCTGTATACAGCCCGAATAACTGTCCCTCAGCGCAACACACCAGCTTCACAGGCA